TTCAATGGTCATTATTTAAAAAAAAATCTATGTATTACATTTCTGTGGTAACAAAATGGCTATGTTCACACTGCAGCCTGAAGTGACCCAAATCCGATTTTTTTTTTGCCCATATGCGACCTGGATCTTATCTTTTCATGGCAGTCTTAACAACACAGATCCGATTTTTTCCCTATCCAACCCAGGCCACTTGGCTATGTGGTCCTGAATCCGATACGAATCTGATCTTTTCAAATGCAACCTGTGTCTGAACGGCCAGGTCACATCCATCCGACCTGAACGCCATTAATACCCGACAAAGGTCACTATTCTGGGTCTTGCTATGAAGAAGCGGCAAGAAACACAACAACCATGGCAGACGGTGATGTGGAGAGCAGTATTTATGTTTAACCATATCGAAAAGACTTTTTTTATGGTTTGGAAAGATCGCTAGATGAGCCCCAGCGCTACCATCCATGTTTAATTCCGTAAACACAGAGCACGCTGGCCGTGACGTCATTGTGTCCTCTACTGCGCATGCGGGACACTTAAGCTGTATGACTGCACTTCACACAGGAGATCACATACAAGTCGCATATATTTGAAAATGTGAACGGCAACGCAAAAAAAAAAAATCGGATTTCACAAAAAATCGGAATTGAGCATCAAGGCCTGCAGTGTGAACATAGCCAATGTGACTGCTATGATCGTAAAAAAAAAATCAACAGATTTTTACAAAGCTGGTAGTGACTGAAATGTGTATGACTAAGACGGCCTTATAAAGCGGGCACTATAAACCCATTAATATTTACAGTTATTATTTTGCAAATATTAACCCATGCACAGGATAAGATCATATTCTTTGCATGTGTTGATTGCCTTGTGCATGTGTGGATCATATAGTTTGTGAATATTGAGACCCTTTCGGCTGCATACACTTTACCGTATTTTCACGACCATAAGGCGCACCGTACTAAAAGGCGCACTCTCAGTTATGTGTCCCATTTCTGTATTTAACACACACATAAGGCGCACCGGACTATAGGGCGCGTTTTTTATATACAGGTACATGTCCTCTACTACCTTTAAATACCTCTACTGCGTATTTAAAAATACAGCGGGGGCAAAACTGAGTATGACTGTGCTTTATTCATGTATTTATTACAAAGTATTAATCAAACCTGGGTGCTGGCCGTGAGACAGACACATCGCAGATGACACAGCGCTGTGATTACTCCTAAATTAACTTAAAATCCTGAAACCTGCCGACGGAATTTGTTCGCTTTTATTACCGGTATCCTGGTGCCTGCAGTTAAAATTATTTAGATGAAAAACACCTGCCAGCAGCTGCGGTGAACCCGGAGGCTGCCCAGCCTAGAGGCTGCTGTTGAAGGGATTTCTACTGTCGGCGCACCGCTGGTATGTGGGGGTCTGAGCGCCTCCGACAGAAATAGATAATCTGGATGAACTGACTGCAATTATGAAGTTTTCAGGTGGACTTTCTCACTTAAAAACATATTAAAACTACTTTATTCCCACTGATCACAGCAAATATAGCTGCAAGATTAAGATTATTTAGATGAAAAAACACCTGCCAGCAGCCGCTGTGAAGAGGAGGAGACCCGCCCAGAGGCTGCTGTTGAATTAAGTTTTCAGGTAGAAAAATAGAGCGGGAGCAAAACTGAGTATGATTGTGCTTTATTCATGTATTTATTACAAAGTATTAATCAAACCCATCAAAGTCATCATCCTCTGTTTCTGAATTAAACAGCTGCGCTAATCAGACATGCCAATTTCCCTTCTTCGCTGTCAGTCACTTTCCGTGCAGCGCGGCTCCTCAGAAATAATGCCGGCTTTTGCAAAAGCTTGAACAACAGAGCCAGCAGACACGTTAGTCCATCTACAATCCATCCGCAAACGGTGGCGTAACTTGCCCGGCGCTGCCTTCCACTTATCCTGAAACTGTGGTCTCCGTCTGTCATCCATCGCTCCCACGCCGCTCGCAGCCTTACTTTGAACGGCCGCTTCACACCGATGTCGAGGGTTGAAGTTCCTTTATCAGACCTCCCGAGATAACGGCGAGCACAGCGTTCATTTGATTCACCATGTTTTTCTCATCGGCTGTGAGATGGGCACGCATGGAGTCACAGATTAACTGGTGATGGTGATGCGTGGAAAAAAACACCTGTTCTCCTCACATACACCTGCCTCAACCACGCTTTCCTTTTCATTTGCGTTAATATCATTTGTCATCAGAGCGATGTGTCTGTCTCGCTGTCAGCTCCCAGATCAGCTTCTCTGATTGGTTGATGCGGCGCGTCCAGCAACAAAACTTCAATTTTTCCATCTCGAGCAGCAGCAGCACGTTGGCGGTGCATCAGATGCTTAAACGCTCCTGCTGCTCAAAACGCGCTGCAGGACCTTTTGCTGCACCTATACGCGCGTCAACCATTGACTTTGCATGTAAACTCGCTGCTTCTGCTGCACCTGCTGGGTCCGGTTCACACTGATGTCGAGCGGTTGAACAGCGAGCACAGCGTTAATTTGTTTCCCCATGTTTTTCACATCAGCTGTGAGATGGGCACGCATGGAGTTACATATTAACAGCGATGATGATGAGTGGAAAAAAAACACCTGGTCTCCTTACATTCAGCCACTCTTTCATCATCTCCTCAATGAGGTGGTCTCAAAAGTCGCAGTTACAACACACATAAGGCGCACCGCACCAAAGGGCGCACCGCACATTTTGAGGGGAAAAAAAGACGTTTAAGTGCGCCTTATAGTCGTGAAAATACGGTAAGTTTACTCATAGTAGCAGTTGTCATAACTAAACATTTCACCTTAATTGACTTTGATATCAGTTACCTTTAGTTTGAGATAAATTCCACACAATTCATTATAAAATGCCAGAAAGTGCTTGAGATTAACAAAGACTTGAGACTGAAGGATTGAGAGTCTTGTTTTAAATCTGTTTCTTTTGTCATTTATGTCCTAAATCGTACTCTCCTCTGAAAAAAGGAAGTCTTTAATTAACAAATGTTTATACATTAAGGACTTTTAATGGTTTCTCAGCGAGGTCTAATGAGTCTAATTCTTTCTACTGTATAGTAACAACCATATTATCCAGAAGGTCCTTTTTTAAGTCAGGTATTTTACTGATTACATGATCTTACTCTTCTTTCTTTTTAGCTATAAAATACTGAAGCTTTTAAACCGAGTGTCGTTTGCTCAGTGCTTTTGCTCATGGAAACAAAAACAGATTGTAACATTTATTGAATGTAGTATTAAATGCATCTCCAGTTGTAATTTAACCGACTTCATCTCTTCTTTTGTTCGTTGCCCATCTGATGACGTATGTAATCAGCTTGAAATGGGGATGAGCACAGAAATTGCCGTACAATTTTCATTGCAGCCTGACACTGTTTTATTTAGCGTTTCTTTTTTTTTTCAACAACTTATTCAACTCAAGAGTAGATTTGTTGTACCTGCTGTGTGTGTTTGTGTTGTTGAGGAGATGGAAAAAAGCCTGCTGTGATTGCTGTCGGTCTTGGTGCATATCCTGTGCTCTGTTGGGCTGAACAAAAGGGACGAACGCTGAGATTTTCTTAGATTCAGATTTTTAAAACCATAAAGTAAATATGATAAAGATAAGGCGCAACATTTTCACATCTGTTACACTTTCTTTCTTTTCTCCTTCTGTTAAGTGATTCCTTAATTGCCTCCACTCCTGAAATCTTGTACCTTCCTTTCCAAGCACCCCCCCCCCCCCCCCCCCCCCCCCTTTTTTTTTTTTTTTTTTTTTAAATAAATGGGTCATTTAATAGATGATTGGATGAACACACTCCTGGACACGTTCAGTGAATATTTGAAATAAAGACGCTCCTTATCTCTCCTAGCAGAGACGCTGTCATGTGCTCGCATGCAGATGAATAATATATCGCACAAGTAGCCCCATTCGACTGGTCGCGAAGCTGACACGGGCCGTTGTACGCCGATCGTAACACAGCTGCGTTTGTGTGCGCGTGCTCTTCTGAGTGAAGGGATGTAAAGTCTCCAGGGGCCACAGTGATGAATGGGTGTGTTGTCACTAGTCAGGTCCAGCTGCTTTAGTGCCATCTTCATGCTGCATGTTCTCCTATTATACCACGCCGTCTGAATGTTTGCTGCCTCTGCCAGAGTGGGAGCATCGGTGGGTGGGTTTTTGCTTAATGTGGCTTGTATGAAACGGTTCCTTTGTGAGAGGGTGGTAAGCCGTTCCTGTGTGTGACAGCAAAGTGTTAACGCACTGATGTTTGAGTGATGTTTTAAAGCTGTGTGTCAGAATGGCAGACGTTCATATGTACTTGCACACATCACTTGCATCTAATAAATCACCTAAGCTCTCTTCATCTGCATGGGTAATGCACGCGTCTTTGTCTCTGCGCCGGTAAAAGCAGGTTTCTGGTGTGAAAATGTGTAGCTGCTTCAGCATGTTGAGGAGTGAGCTTAGAAGAAACTGCTGTTAAAGCAAAAACCGAATTATTTGCCTACAGACATTTTTATGAGACTGTGACATGCACGTATAAATGTGTTTCCGCTAGACTGGCTGTGTGGTTTACATAGTGTATGTGATTTCAGAAAATCCATAATTCAGCTCCATATGTGATGCCATTTATTGCCGTTTCATGCAAACTTCTTGGCAATTTATGCTTCCTTCAGCTCTGCATAGACCTGCTTCATATCTTTAGGAATTGTATAGATTAATTTTGGTTGGATTAAATAAAAATGCACCTGGCTTTTCTACAGTTTGAACCACTGAAAGTCTTTTTAATCAACTTAGACTTTTTTTAAGTGAAATGAACAGCATCCATAATATTTTCTTCATTAGGTTTTGAACAACAGCATTCGTTTTTTAATTACTAACTAATCAAACTAATTGCTTTCCTCCTTTTAGCAACACAATGATGTGACTTATAATATAGTGCAGTCTGTACTGTGGAGAGAGCAGCTTTTTAGAGCTTTTCTTTTGTTTGTCTCTTTAGTGCACAGGAAAAGCAGAGACCTTCTCCCAGTGAAGTGAGCTATACGTGATGCTGACTGGCTGAGGAAGCGTGAGGTGGGTTCACAGCACATTGCACACACAGACTGAGAGAAACAGGAAACAAGCAAAGTGATGTTAATTTAAATAGTTTTCTGCTTTCTACAGTTAAAGGCAATGTAAAGTGTAGATATTATCCACATTGCTTACAGGCAGCTTTAATCCAGTGAAGCAGCTCGCATTGTTTCACCCTTCTACAGCCAGAAGGCTGTAGAAGGGCACCACATATACTAAAGGGTCTCCAACCCTGGTCCTGGAGATCTACTGTCCTGCAGATTTCAGATGCATCCCTTGTCCAACATAGCTAATTCAAATGACATCTCTTCAGCATGCCATCAGGTTTGGCAAAGGCCTGGTAATAAGCCATTGTTTTGATGCAGCCGTTGTAGCAGGGATGCATCTAAAACCTGCAGGACAGTAGATTTTGAGGAACAGGGTTAGAGACCCCTGCTAGATTAATGTTTAATGTTTTCAGATATTTTGTCCATTTTAAATTAGATGGTGGAATTTACTTAAACTAATGTGTATGAAAAGCAGGGCTAAACAACATTTTTATTTTTCTGTAACACTGCAATATATGCTGCGATATGAAAAAAAAAACAGGAATTTTCGTCAGATGACTTTAGAATTTTTCCCGCATTATTGGAAATTAAACTGCTGTGATCTTGTCTCTTTGTGAGTGCTGCAAGGCTTTTTTTTTTCCCCCTTTGAATTATTTTTTCTTTTAATGCTTGCTTTCATTGTGCTAGACCTGAGCATTTATTGTTTTGTTAATGCCAATGTGAATTTTTCTTTGAGTGCAAAAGTTTCTCCATGCCAAACTGAATAAGAAATATGATGATTGAAATTGAAATAGAGCGCATCTGCATAGTCTATCTCCTGCATTACAGGACCTGCGATGTGACCTCTGTGCACATGTACATTGTGATTGCAATTAGGGCTGCAACTAATGATTATTTTGCAAATCGATTAATGTGTCGATTATGTTTTTGACTAGTCAATTAATCTGATAGCCAAAGGTTCCTTAAAGTAGACTTTTCATGAAATTAGACCAGATGAAACTAAAACTTATCTACGTATATTGACAGATACAACTTTTTTTTTTATCTTAAATGCAAAATGTTTATTTATTTTTTACAATCCTGGTATAATTACTGCTCTAAGTGAGTCACTCTGTCAGCTAAAGGCATGTTTTACAGTCTCTGTCCTCCAGTTAACGATCAATCCATCACTAAATTACTTAATCACGATTAATCCAACTGCTTCAGCTCTAATTGCAGTCCTCAGACAATATATTGTGCAGCCCAGATTTAAAAGTTTCAATGACGGGAGATTTACTCACATTTGTTGACATTTTAGATCAGAACTGCATTTTTAATAGTTACTTAAACCAGTTACCTTTTCTGTAAGGTAACTTGTAACCATAACGGGTTACTTTTTTTGAAGAGTCATGACCAAGACGTCTGAAATCCAAGTTCTCACTTAGATGCCAAACTAAAGGGGTCTGGCCTGACTAGGAGTGAATCCCATTTTACTACACAAACACTTTTAACTGCTGAACCATTTCTTTCTAACTTCACCATATCCATCCCTGTTATATTTGTCAAGAAAGGGAAATGCTGTGGAAAACGTCCTTGTAGCTCTTGAAAAGAGGAACCTGGCATTGGTATGAATCAGTCCTTGTAGCTCTGATGACAAATGTAAATATTTTCTATGTCAACATATTTTTAAAGGCTCTGTAATCAATATAATGTCTAAAATATAATGTTTGACATCAGTATAAACTATTGAAAAGATGATAGAATAATTCCTGATTTAAAATGTTTTCCTCATTTCTAAATAAAGACCAAAGCTTGTTTAAGTAAGTGAAGAGAAGATAATACTGGTATTCTGAATAATAATGGTTTATTCCACTTTTATTTTGAAAAACAAATATGGCTCTTTGATGTTGTTAATTCATTAGCTGTCACCTTTCAGTCCTTTCACAGCTTGTATCATGTTTTTTATGATTTACCTTTGGTGATGAGCTCCAAGGGTCTCCTTAAATTCAGATCTAAGTCAAGACTCGGTTTAAGCTTCTCCTAATTATTACTTCCACACAAACTTATTATTATTATAATTTTTTTTTAAAGGAATACTTTAAAACTAAATGTGTAATTCATTTTGGTTTGAACTACACGTAAAAACAGTGATTGTTCAGTGATCAAGAAGTTGTTTTCTATAAGAAAAGATACCTTAATCTTTAATTTATTTGCTTCATCTGTTTTGTTTTAGTGTGAAAAGCCGTTAGCAGTTCAGGTTATGGTTAAAAAAAAACAGCAGCAGCCAGCTTCCATTGTTAAGAGACCAGGACACACATGCACACTCACCTCCTTCCTCTTCTTCAGGGATCTAAATGGGAATCTGACTGGAGGTAAACATGTCATTGCTTTAAGCAGTCCAGCAAACAGTCAGTCTGACAGACCAGTTAATGGGGAGATGAAAGGATAGGGTTTAATAAGGAGCGCTGGAGAAAATGCTGGGATATATTCAAACAAGGCAACATTTACTATTCTGTAGAAAATGTCAGATTGTGTTCAAATTAGCCAAGTTATTCCTTCCAGCGTCTTTTCTCTTTAAAGTGTTCTTCAGTTATAACCCCCAGGATTTGCCAAGAGTTTTATGTTTTTGCCCGTATCGTTGAGGTGAGGGCTTCACTTCAAACCTGAACATCAGAGCGGATTGTGGGATTGGGGCCAGAGGCACGACACTAACTAAAGAAACCAGAAGGTTATTGGACTTGAGGAGTGGCTGCAGTTACAGAAATCAATGTCACTGGTGTTTTCCGAGATGCTTTAATCTAAGCGAAGTTGTTTCTGTGATAGAATTTCTATTGCTGTACTACAACCTTCAGTAAGTGACTCAGCTTTTTGAAGCTTTTCATGTTTTTTTTTTGCTCCTGCATCGGCCGTAAGTCTCTTGAGTGCAATAAAAACAAGGCTTTATCTGGCTTAATTCGTTTATTCCTTTCTTTCCGGCCTCTTTTTTTTTCTGCCTTCCTCCCAGTAGATTTTTATCAACCTCAGTTGTTTGCTCGTGCCCCTCTGGTGTGTAGGCTAGCTTTATGAATGAGCCCACTGAAGGCCACTCAAGTCACAGTGGTGTTGCACACACTACCCACACATGTATTTTATCTCACAAATGGAGAGAAAAAAGAAACTTGTCACAATCTCACACCTTATCCCTTCCTTTCTTTCCTCCTCAGCTTAAATCCCCATGGAGACCAGTGTAAGAGCTTCAGAGATAGAAAGAGAAAGGAAAGAGATAAAGACTAAAAAGAGAACTTTAAGTCCCCTGTTGTTTGAGTGGATGGTGTCAAAATAATCCCTCCTTAGCTTTACATGGCAGTCGCTTTTATTGCCTTAGCCTCAACTCATCAGTTGAGTTGGGATTGCCAAAAGGCGAGTGCGTGATTCTCTCATTTATTTGTCTGAGTGGAGGGAGGTATTCACTCATCTAGGATTAGGAGACTCTTAAGATTCATCACCTCTTCAGCTGTAGGATAACTGTTTTCCAAGATGGCTTTAGCTCTACCAAGAGGGAGGATTTGCTTTGGAGATATACCGTATGTTCACTCATCGATTCGAAAAGGACAGTTTTCAGCTGGACCAGTAACGTTTAACTTCATTTTTTTTATTTTTATTTATTCCTTTATTTAACCAGGAAAAGTCCCATTGAGATTAACAATCTCTTTTTCAAGGGAGTCCTGGCCAAGACAGCGGCAAAAGATTACATTACAATTTACATTACAGTTTACAATTACATCTATCTATAGAAATTCATAAAACCGTTACAAACCATAGATCTAATTTCCAAACCTTTGAGCAGTCGTTTAAAATGTCCAATCGGACTTTCTGAAGATTGTTCCATGCTGTGGGGGCAGAGTATTGAAAAGCTGTCTTTCCAGCTTCAGTGCGGACACTAGGTACAGACAGAAGCAAAGACTCTTGAGAACGTAGAGAATACTTTCCAGCCGCTCTTGGTTGAATGTACTCACAGAGGTATGAGGGGAGCAGACGCAGAATACCGTTATAAATGATCATATACCAGTGAGTGAGTCTACGAGTCTCTAATGCTGGCCAGCTTCATAAAGTTAATGATGACTTCTGTTTGCTGTCCATGTACACTATGGTTCAACAATTTGGCGTCACATTGAAATGTCCTTATTTTTGAAGGAAAAGCACCGTACTTTTCAATGAAGATAACTTTAAACTAGTCTTAACTTTAAAGAAATACACTGCTAATGTGATAAATGAGTATTCTAGCTGCAAATGTCTGGTTTTTGGTGCAAAATCTACATAGGTGTATAGAGGCCCATTTCCAGCAACTATCACTCCAGTGTTCTAATGGTACAATGTGTTTGCTCATTGGCTCAGAAGGCTAATTGATGATTAGAAAACACTGCTTC